CGGGGAAACCGAACACGAGGAGCCAGGGAGAGACGAGGCAGGAAGAAAACAGCATTGAGAAACCAGCAACGACAAGGAACCAACAAGGAGTGACGGCAGAGGGAGACAAAGGCAGGGCTAACGAGCCGATAAGGAGCAGGTGTGAGAGGAAGCAACGAGGAAGCCAGGGGGAAAGGAACACACACAAGAGGGCAACAGAAGACAACAGAAAAATTAAGCGGTGGCTTGGTTTTGAGACACACTTAAAATTATCAGCGTTCTGATGGCATTTTAGCCAAAGGATTTTTATCAAAACATAATTAATGTGCACAAATAAGGAATAGATGTCGCCCAGTTAATAGTATTAACTGGGTGACAGTGGCGTTGGATGTAGGAGTTTGCCCTGAAATTGAAGGGTTGATGGTTCAAGCCCTGACTCCGACTTTCTTTGTCGTTGTGTCCTTGGGCAAGACACTTCACCTGCATTGTCTACTGATGGTGGTCAGAGGGCCCAGTGGCGCCAGTGTACGGCAGCTCTGCTTTTGTCAGTGAGCCCCAGGGCAGCTGTGGCTACAATGTAGCTTTCCACCATCAGTGTGTGAGTGAATGGGTGAATGAATGTAGGGTAAAGTGCTTTGGTGAAGTCTCCTAATTTGAATAAAGGCGCTATATAAGTACTTACCATTTACCATTTACAATTAACCATACATGGAAACAGAGTTTATGGGGCCCCCAGGAATTTGGGGCCCTAGGGAGCTAACTAGTATTGCCTAATGGGAAATCCTCTCGATTAAACCCAGAGAGTTAATTTCTTCAGTGTGAGATTAATAAAGTTCAGTTATTGTTATTAGTATTATTGCAGTGCAGGTTTGCGCTTCACCAGGAGAGGTCGTTATAAATGAAGCTTAGAGTTCAAAGCTGCTCGACACTCAACAGGCTCCGCTTCAGACTTGACTCAGTTCAAATAGCTGTAAATCAGAAACCACATTGGTTCAGAGCTCTTAGTTATTGCTTTACATCTAGAGATATAAATGATTGCACATGCAAAACTTAAGCTAGATCAAACTACTGGAAGTGGGTCAGGGGCATTACGTATTGAACAGCCCTCATATGTGAACACCTATCACAGGTGCAAAATAGTGCAATCACATGTAAACAAAAACAAGACAACTATTAGCAGTGCTACTGTACAAGACAATGTACAGTTGGAAAACTGAGAAACTTCGCCATTGGAACAAGACAAATGAAATTTAAAATAAAAAACAATTTCATTGTTTCATTTCAAGTGCATATTTTCTAATTATTTTATTAGAAGAGTAAAGATATTCATTCCATTGGCAGATCATCTCATTTACCTGCTCAAATTAAGGGTAACACAGTTAATTTAACCCTTTAAAGCCCCATCCAAGAATAAAACAAAACAGAAAATTATTATTTTTTTGTTTGAATTCCTTATTTGCCCTTTTAACAAAATATGTAAAAAGGAAAAACAGAAATAAATTTTTGATATTAATAATTTTTTACTATGCGATAAGTCAAGATTATTTTTTGTGTAGTCTTCTGACCTCTGTTATCAGGTATATCTGATTGTGTACATTAGGATTTTGAGCAAAGTTTTTACCATTAAATTATGCAAAAGGTGTCAGATGCAAAACATTTCAGAAACCGTATGTATCAAATACGATACATTAGGCATTACAGGGTTAAGAAATGTCGACTTATTTCTAGATTGTTTTTGCAGTGTGGGAAATGAGACTGTAACACTTGCTGCTGCGATCTTTATATATTTTAACACAATGACCATCTGATGACTAAACTTTTGATAAAACCCCCTGCAAATAAGAACATCATGGTTGTTCGATGCTGTAGCGCACAGATTGTTTACATTGAGACCGGTTTAACTTGGGAGTACCAATATGGCGGCTGGTGGCTTCACAACCAATGGGCAATCAGCAATTTAGACATGAGAGGTGGAAGCAGGTGTGAAGCTGTCACCTCCAGAGGCGTATTCAGGTCTGTGCTCCTGACTTTTCCTCTCTTTCACTATGATTTTCAACTTGTAAAAATGAATCCAGCACCTGCTCTTCTCACACTATTATTGTTGTTCATATTTACTTCCGCCGGCGAGTCGTATAAGATGGCCGCCAGAACCGGAAATGCAATGACGTCAGTCGCAAGCCTTATATGGTGAAAACGAAAGAAGCACAAAGGAAAGTTTTAAAGGTTCAAATTTGCACTAAAGAAGTGAAGTAGAGCTCTTTGCTTTAATACATACATATATATATATATATATATATATATATATATATATATATATATATATATATATATCAGAAGGTAAATCAAAAATTAAAAAGAAACAAACAGAAAACAAACAGAAAAAGGGCAAGAAAGATCTGATAGGGTTAAAAAAATCTGTAATAGTTAGAAATGACATAGAAAGAAGGATGAGAAGAGATAATTTATATTAGATTAAGAAATGGACACACCTGCTGGAATAAGTTTCTGTTTCTACCAGGGAAGAGAAATCATGAAATATGTGAGGAAAAGAAAATGTTGATCATGTTTTAATGGTTGCTATTAATATGCATCCGAAAGAGAGGATGAGGGAATTAATTAGAGAAAAAGGGAGAGAATGGAGCATTAAAGGGATTTTAGGGACATGTGGAGATAGGGAGGATATTAGGGCCATTAATAAAGCATTTTTTGCATAAAATGAAATTAAAAAATAGAATAAAGTAGGTGGAACCTTTACGCTACACACTCTTGTACAGTAGGTGTCGGTATGCAGCTTTAAGCTGTTTACAATCCGCCAATCAAATAAAAGAAGAAGAAGAAGGAACCATTGTAAAGATGAAATAGTTTCCTACCGGACCGGAAGTCTGTGAAACTGCGGATTGTGGCGGACTGATCATCGCTGATTGTCCATCTCTGCTCCGGGGCTCTTAAAGCTTTCCTTAGCAGCGCAGGTTTCGGCTCTAAATCTCTGTTAGCATTGTTAGCACTGTCAGCATTGTTAGCACTGTTAGCATTGTTAGCATTGGAAGAAACTAGCAGGCAGCCGCCTCCATTGTTCCCTCCCCCTCAGCGCCATGAGTTACTCTGACTGTGACTCTGACGGCTACCTGTCTCATGAAGACGCTGACTATGTTCCCTCAGGTGAGAATCGCAGGAAGATGTTTCAGGTTTAGTTGCTAAATAACCAGAATCCTCAGACAGGCTGAACAATCCTGCATCCTCCCCTGCCTCTGGTTAGGATGCAGTTTCAGTGAACAGTCCTGTTTCTGTCTACTGTTTGCTCTATTTGTTTAACCGTAAGAAAAAAAGCTTATATATCTTTTTACACGCAGTATATAAATGTTTTCTTTCAACCCTTTATAGGTTTAAAAGTGAAATACTTTACAAATCAACATTTCCAGCCAATAGTGTTACTGGAATCCAGGCAGATACCTTATTACCTTTGGAACATTCTAGAAATATGGATGTTTATGGTAACAATTAATGTCAATGTAATAAGAAGAAACGCCAACTTGCCTTAATATATTAAGAAAAATTACAAAAGTGCTTCTAGAAGAATTTCATGAAAAACAAACACATTTTTATTGGTCCAACATAACCTTAGAGGCATTAATGCCGATACTGGAACTGACATTTTTTTAGTTTATGAACCTAAATATAATTGTTAAATAGACTTATTTACTTTTTAACTTAACTTTTTAATTAGCTTATTACCTGTTTTTTCTCTTTAACTTTTTGTCCAACTTTATTTACAATAAATAATGTATCGTACAGCAACTGATTATAAAATAAAAACAATTTTACTTAAACTTTTTAACTTTCCATCTCAAATAAAATAAAAACATGAATATGTTGCCTGAAAGATAGTAAGGAATCTCTACTTTAAAGTTTTTAGTTTATAAACCTAAATATAATTATTAACTAGGCTTGTTAACTTTATAACTTTAAAATTAGCTTTTTCAGGTTCCTGTGAATCCTTAAAAAGTTAAAAGGCATTGAATTCTTCAATATAAAAATAAGGCCTTAATTGGTATTAAAATGTCTTAAATCAGACTTTCATAGATCTAAAAATTGTCACCAAGTCATAAATAGGATTTAGTTTTTGTCATTTGTATAAAAAATTAAAATGATTCCCAATAATTTTTTGCCATTTACCGAACGGCTGCGTTGGAAGAATTATTAGCTCTATCCTGACAGCAGAACCGATAAAAACAAACAGACCTTGGGGCGATGCGACAACTTTTTATCTGGACAACGTGGGGAGGTGTAAATGCAATGTAGTTTTCTGCACGTCTAAAACCAGAAGCAGGTAATTTAGATGAGGAATGTTGTACTTTGAGCAAGAAGTCATTGAAGCTCGGCATGATGGGAATCAAAGCTGTGGAGTCAGATGAGTGAAGAGGTAAAAACAAAGCCTCCGTTTTGTTCCTCGTCTCTGCACGGCCTCTACAGCATCTCCGGTAGCAGCAAACCTCCAGATAATGTTTGGCGGTTTGCGGACAATGAAAGCAGAGCTATTATAGACTTTGAGTCGGGATCAAAACAAAGTTTGTGAATTCCATTCATTAGTTGTTAAAAATATTTCTGTTATTAGTTTGTGTTTTACTTTCTTCCTCTATGGAATTTTTTTCAAAATTGTAAATATTTCTACTGGGCCAGAAATGAATGGTTTATGTTCAAATAAGCATCGGGTTACATTTGTTTCAACCAGGTTTTCTTGTGTTTATTGTGAAGTTGGTCTTAAAGTTTTATTTCAAGGGACAAAAAAGCCTAAAAAAGTCTTGAATTGAACTTGCCTGATGTTGTTGGAACCCTGTTTTAACCTTTTCTTGACTTTTTTTGTTTCAAACTTAATTTCCAGGAGGTAATAAATCATTCAAGGGCTCATCTAATTGGTCAAATACTAAACTCAGATGTACAGCCATGTAGCAGGATCTATGCTGAATGGCTTATATAGATATTGTGCTTCTAGACCTCACTGAGGGACGAGGAAGGATCTATAACTTGCCCTAAAGAGGATCCACAGAGCCTTTGTGGACGTGTTGAACCATCGTGTGTTCTTCTCTGTCTCAGATGATAACCTGAGTGAGGATGACATCAATGAGTGTGAGAAGGAGGACCCTCTGCATGAGGACGACGCCGTGCCTCATCCTGAAGCCGCTCAAAAGAAGAAAAAGAGAAGAAAGGACGTCGGCGTGAAGTGAGTGGAGCGGATGATAAAGTTTAGCCTGTGTCAGAACTTCCTGTCCCAGTGAGGCACCAAGCTGCCCGCTGTTCTGTCAGACCAGCATACCCCGTCAGACCAGAGGATTAGGCCACTGGGGAAAAAAAAGTTACCGGTAACTGATTTTTAAAGTTTATTTCAGTTTAATATGGGAAAAAAGTCAGAATTCTGACTTTTTTTCTCAGAATTCTGACTTTGTTCCCATATTAAACTGAAATAAAAGTTTCAAGTTTTACTCCCTGGAATGGGTGACAATAGTTGAATAAACGTTCGGCTCTCAAAAGGGTATTGGTGCCCTATTTGTTGGTACTCACTGATACCAATACCAACATTTTAGTGCTGGGTCGGGGGCCCGCCTGATACTGGTATCGGTGCAACACTAGTAAAAAACTCAGCGGTGCATTCTATAAAGCAAAGCTCTACTTAACGAGTCTGTGCAGCATCTAGAACTAGAACAGATAGAATGCTCATGTATTAAAAACATAATGAGATCTACGTCTAAAGAACAGAAAAACGCTGCTCTGACCTGCTCTGTCTGCTCCTCCTTATTCTTGTTTCTGTGAGGCTCAAAGACGATCGCTACTTTATCCGTTCTCTGTCCTCCTGAACTCCTATCATGGGGAAAGTTTTCTATTTTAATGTTTCATTCATGGTTTCCGCTCCAGTCTGTCCTGCTTACTATAAACACGATGAGTGACTCCAGACTGACTCTTTCCCCGTCAGATTAAAAGATTTTATTTAGCATTTTCCTCCAAAGCGGATGTTTTACTTTGAAACTGATTCCCTCTTCCTGTCAGACCCATGAAATTGCTGCTGAATTGCTGCGTAGTCCGACTGAAATGGACCTGGGCTCTATCTCAGTCGGAGCTACGCTGCCCCCTGCAGGAAATCATGCCCATTGACTTTCAATCAACGCTAAACGCCACAATTTTCTATGGGAATGGAGGCTAGATCGGGTTCAGTGTGTTCTGGCCCGTAGGGTTGGGTCAGCTGGATTTGTTTTCATGCTTTCAGTGTGAAGTGGTTTTACGGGTGTGGCCTAAACCCACTCAACTGTATTAGATGATAATGTTATTATTTCACAGTAAAAACTAAAAATCTTAGTTTTTCTAAATCTGTTTGAAACAGGAATAACAGCGAGAGGTTAAAGCAGGGAGGGAATGACGGCAGCGAGGAGGCAGCGCCGCTAAAGGAGGATGCCGATGATGAAGAGAAACGGAAGAAGAAATCAGATGACCTTTGGGCCAGTTTCCTGTCTGACATGGGATCAAGGCCCAAAGGCTCCGCCCCCACCTGCCCGTCAGAGACCGCCGAGGTGGGAAGCATGTTTCTCTGTCCTCTTCTTCATCATCGGGTCGGCCATGTTGGCTTCACTCTCTGCTGATTGGCCTGTTTTTTTTTTTTCTGGCAGGATGAACCTTCAGCTTCAAAGGTTACGACTTCTTCAGGGGCAGATTCCAAACCATCCGGACCTTCTAAGGTCACCATCACCAAGGTGTTTGACTTCGCTGGAGAAGAAGTGCGGTCAGTCTGAATCATTCAGGAGGAAAAAACGTTTGTTTTGAAATGAAGGCTCTGAGTTGATTCTCTATGAGCGGTGTCAGAGCCTGGTCCGCATCGCCAGCAATGAGTCGGACTCGTTTCCAGTGGAAGGTTGCCCTTTGTTACCGGTTTTGTTCATAACTTTTATGGACAGAATTTCTAGGCGCAGCCAAGGTATTGAGGGGATCCATTTTGGTGGCATCACCGTTAGGATCACGTCTCTGTTATTTGCAGATGATTTGGTTCTATTGGCTCCATCAGGGCGTGATCTACAGCTCTCACTTGAGTGGTTCGCGGCTGGGATGAGGATCAGTGCCTCCAAATCTGAGACCATGGTCTGGAGCCGGAAAAGAGTAGAGTGCCTTCTCTGGGTTAGTGGAGGAGTTTAAGTACCTCGTGGTCTTGTTCACGAATGAGGGGAAGATGGAGCGGGAGATAGATATGCGGATTGGTGCGGCGTCTGCTGTGAAGCGTGCGCTGTACCGGTCTGTAGTGGTGAAGAGAGAGCTGAGCCAAAAAGCAAAGCTCTCAATCTACCGGTCGATCTACGTTCCTACGCTCATCTATGGTCATGAGCTTTGGGTCATGACCGAAAGATTGAGATCCTGGATAGAAGCGACTAAAATGAGTTTCCGGAGAAGACTCAGAGTAGAGCCACTGCTCCTCCACATCGAGAGGTATCTGATTTGTTTGTCGTTTTTTTCAGTTTTAACGGCACTAGTGGCTCGTTTTAATGGACAGTAGGCCAAGACCATACCATACCAACTTTATTTATGAATCACTTTATGCACTGGACAGGACCAAAGTGCTTTACACAATCATAAAATACAACAAAAATTATAAAATAGAAAAAAATACGAGTGTAAAAAATGTAAAATACTTATTAGCATACAAACAGAATAAAACAAAGAAAAGACAAAAACCAAAAAAAGACATGCGGGAAAGGACCACAGGCCGGGTTCCAACCTGGGTAGCCTGAGTCAAGGACTAAGGCCTTCATACATGGGTTATGTGCGCTAACCACTGCGCCACCAAAGCACGCCCGGCTCCAGCATCTGGTTAGGATGCCTCCTGGATGTCTTCCTGCTGAGGGGTTCCAGGCACTTCCCACCGGGAGCAGGCAAAGGGGGAGGCCCAGCATACGCTGGAGGGACTCTGTTTCTTTGCTGGCCTGGGAGCGCCTTGGGATTCCTCCAGAAGTGGCAGCAGAGAGGGACGTCTGGGCCTCCCTACTGAAGCTGCTACCCCGGCAACCCGACCCCGGATAAGAGGAGGAAGAAGTTGGATGGATGGATGGATGGATGGATGGATCTGAGTCGAAGTTCAGGCTGATGGCATGTCTGCTGTTCTCACCATGTCTACCATGATCATTTCCATTAGCACCAGTAGATGGCGCAGCACACTCGGCTGATCATTCTCACAGTGAACGGCTATCACTATATGTTAATGTTTCTCCATCAGCTGTCTCTGTGGACGCCCTCTGCTACAGAGGACATGTGGAGCGCTGTACGCCTGGGGCGTGGTACGCCTCGCCTGGGGCGCGGTACGCGTGAGGAGAACAGCCCTGCAGTGACAGCCGCTGCAGGAGGAGGTTTGCAAAGATTAAAACCTTCATGTTCTCTGTAGGATGAACCTGAAGGTCCTACTGAAGCGGAACCACCAGGTCTCCTGGATCCCCGTCCTTTAGGGCGCAAAGAAGTCAGAAAGGGAAAGTCCTGGAGCGGCCTAGTCAAAGCCCAGATCAGGATTTCATTGAGAATTTCTGGGTGGTCTGAAACTGGGCTGAATGAACGCAGCAGAGAACAGATCTGCTGTTTCAGAGCACTGATTGTTGGTGTTCCTGTTTTCAGGGTGAATAAGGAGGTGTCGGCGGATTCCAGGGAAGCTAAGACTTATCTGAAGAGTCAGAGCGCTCAGCAGGAGGAGGGCCAGGAGGCAAGTCCGGCCTCGAAGAAGCCGACCCTCCCCGGGCCCAGGTAAAATCAATGTTTTATTCTCATAGATCTATAGATAGATCCATCCAGAACGTCAGGATTTACTGTAAGAAGTTATTTTCTGTGTCGTCTGTCTGTTGCGGGATCCTTTGCCATCAGTGCAGCTTCCCTTGAATGCCTCATCCTGTGGTTCTACTGAGGTCCAGGAGAAACCCAGGTGGCTTCAGTGGCTAGATTCTCTGTGGGGTTCTGGACAGGCCCGATGGCTGTCCAGAACCCGGTACCACCATGGTCACTGGACCAGCTTCTGCTTGGATCAGTGACTCCATCCAGCTTGTCAGCAGAAGTGTTCCAGAAGGTTCTGTTGGATCCCTGTTGTGACCCATTGGACCAGAACCAGCCATGACACAGCGGCCCAAACATCACCGTTTGTAGAACCTTTGCTCTTAAGATTCAAGCAGCGTAGAGAAAAAAGTCCAGTTCTCTGCTTCTAACCCCAGATACTCAGGTTTTCCTTCCACTAAACTTTCTATACATCCAGCATTCTGTGAGGAAGCAGTTTCTTCTCTCTGTGGCCATAAATGACCAGAGTCTTCCTCACAATTGGTTGGTCGTTACGGTTAAAGCGCTCTTCCCTCGACAGGTGGCGTCTGGTCACCGCCGAGCGCGGCGTGGAGAGGAGCACATCCTTCTTTCCACAGCAGAAAACCCAGACGGGACAAAGGAAATGGTTCTGAAGCAGAAGGAAGCAGCACTGTCCACAACCCATTTCCTTCTGATCTGGGTGAGAGGGAGAGAGAGGAAGCAGGAAGTGGCCATCAGAGCCGTTTATCTGGTCGGATTCTGCCTCGCCTCATGGAAGCGTTAAAAAGAGAGAAGAAGGAGGAGGTCTTGGTGGGAGAAAGTGGAGGGTTCTGTACTGACAGACGTGGCGACATAAACCTTATAAAATCAAACAGTCAGCGCCTTCATGGTTTAAAGCTTTTTTTTTTTTTTTTAGCTCCCTTAATTAACCCCTTAAACCCAGAGAGGCTTAGGATCAAATTCAGCCTGAAACTACATCTGTGAAGTAAATCCAGTTCTATAAATTGGAAATATAATTGTTTGTAATTCTATGACAGAACGGCATTGAGGAATATTTTTTAGGCGGAACTACTATTCTAAATGTCACCATGTCTGATTTATAGGTGATTAATAAAAGAAAAAATTAAAAAGATTAAGCAAAACTACTAATTTTCACTAAAACAAACTCTGCAAAACACCATGAAAGCCCATTAGAAACTCTGGATGAACCCTCAGACTTTATAGATCCACATCTTCACTATAATTCAAGCTAATCTGGACTGAATAAAGGTCTGGTTATCGTCCAGCAGCAGTGTGTCTCAGTGAGCTCGTCGCAGATATTTTTTGATTTCTGCCCAGTATTGAAGCGTGGTCTGCGCTATGCTATTCCACGGCACAACGCCAGAGGGCCAATCAGGAACTAGCTGTGGGTCTAGATACGGTCGAGGCGGTGAGGAAGTGGGGGCAAGTTTGTGCAACAACAGAGGGACATGAGGGCCAAAAAGAATGGGGATCAAGGTGGAAAAATGGTCCCAGCGTTCTCACGCAACTCGCTCTTCTAGCTGCTCCATCTTCACCAGTCATTTTCCTCAATTGCAGTCAGACAAACAAAACAAGCCGGTAAGGAACCAAACAGGAAATACCCATAGTGTAGAGCGGATGGAAATCTGACCAATCAGAGGCCTTCTGTCTGCGGGCACCTACCATTTTGGAGAGGAGCAGCAGAGTGTCTGCGGAGGGGGTGGGGCATATCTGCGTTCACTGCAATAGAAACGCAGACGACCTGGTTTCTGAGTATAAATCAGCCTTAATAAGTTGAAGCATGTTTGTTCCACAAAGGTTTTAGTGGGCAGGGTGCTGGTTGGGAATGTGATGTTTGCACACCGCCAAAAGTGGCCAAATTATGCTAAAATGCATTTGTGTCAGCTCATCAAAGGGAATCTGGTCAGATAAAAATGCTGATTTCCAATATTGGAGACTTTCTGCACAAGACAAAGCCCTAAGATTTAGTCGTTTATTCATCGAAATTTACCAAACTGAATAGAAAATTAGAATAACAGAGCAGCTTATGTAACGCATGCTGGTTAAATCACCTGAAATGGTCGCACAATGACCTCCGACCCCTCCTTGGAAAGCTCTGAGCCTCTAGTTTCCAATGATGGCGGCCATTAGGGGGCGGGGCTAAAAATGAATACCTGCTGTTGCATTACTCCCGCAGAGTCTCACATGTCAGGTGGAATTTTAAATCTCATTTTATTTGTTTACAGAGCTATAAAGCAGAAATTATTTGTAAAAAAAATCATTTTTAAAGATGTTTTAGAAATTCTAAAGCCCCATGTAAATGGCGTGTGGATGAAACACCATGTGACTGAGTTT